ACCATCTAATTTGGCTTTTTATTATCCTGTCTTAACATCCCATAAACGGATAGAGTTATCTTCACTACCAGATGCTAATGTAGTACCATCAGGAGAGTAACAAATTGAAAAAACTGTATTTGAATGACCATCTAATTTGGTTTTTTATTATGCTGTCTTAACATCCCATAAACGGATAGAGTTGTCTCCACTACCAGATGCTAATGTAGTACCATCAGGAGAGAAATTAACTGACATAACATAATCTGAGTGGCCATCTAATTCGGCTATTTCTTACCCTGTCTTAACATCCCATAAAAAGATCAACTCATCAAAACCACCAGATGCTAACGTGGTACCATCAGGAGAGTAACAAATTGTGTTTACCCTATATGAATGACCATTAAATTTGGCTTTTTATTATCCTGTTTTAACATCCCATAAATGGATAGAACCATCTTAACAACCAGATGCTAATTTAGTACCATTAGGAGAGAAGCAAACTGAAGTAATTATCTAATAATGACCATCTAATTTCAATATTTATTTCTTTGTTTTAAGATTCCATAAATACAACAACCTAAGATTGCTGAAAGCCAATATCGTATTATTTGGTGAGAAACATATTGAATTTTCTATATATTCTACTTTAATTATACACTTTATACTACCTGTTGTCACATTCCATAATCGAATAGATTCATTACTGCAAGAGGCTAATGACTTACCATCTGGAGAAAAGCAAACTTATTTAATTCTACATCTATGACCCTTCAATTAAATTCCCTCATCTATACATAAAGCCCTCCACTTACAATTAATTAATTTGGCTTAATTCAAATTCACTCCGCTGATAATGACATTATCGAATTCAGATCCACTTAAATCACATCTGACCAAGTTAGCTCCTATTATTGAAGTATTTCTTATTCTAATGTTTTCAAAACTTGATTTCCTCAAATCAATTTTCATTTAAACTAGTAAATGAAGAGAATTTGATCCACACTAAATATATGTGTCATCTAATGCAGTAAGATGAACTAAAAATTTTAGAAATTCTATAGTTTTTTTATCCCCTGATAATTTTATGATCAGCTCCTTTTTCATCTCTTTATAATCATCTAATGAATAATTCTTTTCAGAAAATTCATGGTCCAACAATTTTTTAAGTATATCTGCTAATCTCATAATGTTATTCTTTCCAACATTTACCAACTGTTCATTTCCATATAGTGATTAATTTTCTCCCTTTTATATTTTTAATCAACTTGCCTTACATTTAAAAATTTTTGAGAGAAAATCCAAGCAGTCTTAAATTTTCTCTCTTTCAATATTTTAGTTAGGATAGGGAAGGCTACTTCATCAACATCTTTAGATAAAGCCAAAACCCCATACAAATCTCCAATCTACTCTATTTTGCAATCCATTCTCTATTTTTTAAATAATATTGAATTTCTATTAATTTATTTTGAATTTTATACGATAAATCAAAAATGTATCACATTTTTTGTTAGCACAATTTCTATTACTAGAGAGTTTTCTGTCTCTAGGTCTTCCCTTCTTCTTGTATGAATCGATGCGAGTACTCCCGTCATGAGTTATTTGTTGTTTCTATTCTTCACGTGCCACCTGTTTCCTATGGTTCTTCTCTGGTTCTCAATTTCTTTCTTTCCTTCTTGAATGATCAGTTTGTGAGATTTCATTCCAAGGAATTTCTCTCTTATTTATTACAGAATTATTGATGTTCCAACTAGTGATACATAATTCAACAATCCTCCTACAACCATCTTGGCCCTTGAACTCTCTAGATATCATTACCCATTCTAGGCCCTGTTCGTTCCTTTAAAATTGAATAAGTATTAGGAGGAGAAATCTCAGGATGCCCTATTATGATACAACTTACAAATTTGAAACTAAAGAATCAATTCTAACAAAAGTATCCTGTAGAGATATATAATTTCCTTATATTAATTCAAGTGCTGTTTTTATTTGATTCGCTCAAGTATAAAATGCTTAACAATATGAGTTGAAAATACTGCCACTTTTCTCTTAAGGATCTAATTCATTTTTTATTAGTAATAAATACAGTTTGGTTTATTTCTAAAGCTAAGCTCATTATTGCAATAAAGGTTTTCTCTACAGAAATTTCCTTTCAGGCTCAAAAAGTTTCTATAAGACATTTTGAAAACGACAATTTTTTTAATTTCAGAAAAACAACCTGAAAACTATTGCATTTGTTAAAGATTTAATGAGCTAAATAAAACCGAATTTTACAACCACCATTGCTTATCATCTAGTTATAAAGAAATTATCGATAAGAATGGAATTTTAAAGTTTTCAATTAGATAGCTTTAATTTCCTATTTTTTTAGATTGATTACCTTTTGGTAGTTTTAGTTTCTAATGAGAAATTATGAAGTACTAAGTGTTTTTACAAGATGATTTTTCTATAATTTTCTTAGAACATTTATATGTTTATCAAGAATATCACTTTTTTTCTCTATATTTTTTATTGTAAACCAAATAAGATTGGAAATAAAATCTACCCAGAAGAAACTAATTTTGATTATGCAAAAGTTAAATTATTGCAGCGTTAAAATTTATTCAATTACGGATAACCCCCATTGGTTTTTAAAATAGAAGTAGTTTAAATGCCATCTGACAATCTTGAGGTAAAAATCAACCCAAGGGTAATGGTACTTACCTTAAAAATTATTACAAATTGAGAAAAATACTAATGTTACAAATAAAGATTGAGACATTATGATATGTCCCAGCATTGATTATTCTATTTGGAAGTAATCTAAAATTAAAGACACAAATAAGCTTCTATAGTCCGTGCATGAAATAAAACATCAAACTGATATTATGGAAGCAAATCTCTGCATTTAAAGCTAGTCAGATGTG